TCACCAGAAGTGGTCCGTAGTTGCCAATTAGTTGCCTTATTCTTTGTTCCACTTCCACATTCGTGATTTTCTGCTTCCACGTTATCCCAAGCACTCTCCTGAAGCAGCGAAGTTCAAAGGCGTAGATTCTTTTCTCCAAACATTTGCTGTAGGTCCATGATTCACATCCGTATAAGGCAATCGATGTTACCAGGGATTTCAACAAGTTTATCTTGATCCAGGCCTGGCCGTTTGTATTTTTATAGGTGAGCTGTGAATCGCTCCCCTCATTTGCTGAGAAGAGCTAAATCAGTAACACATAGAATGTACTTTAAAGACAATCGACAGATAACTTAAGCCCCTTTAGTATCTGTTGGTTGCCTTTATTAGCCTCAGTCAGGAGTATGCTGTTTTACTTTATTCAATTTGCATTTGCTTTAACCATGAATCAGGCACCCCCTTTACTTGAAGTATTTAAAAGAACAGACTCTTTCAGTTTCATGTAAAGCTGACACAACACAAAAACAACAATTCTCTTGACAAACAATCTTTTTGTTGTGCAGAATTTGAAAATGGCTTTGAAAAACAAATTTTGAAACAAACTTAAGTTATTCGTCTAGCACTCTGCAGAGTATAAAACGTCAGAAGATAGATGGAATACCCAGTTTTGGATCGAAATAGGCCAATCAGAAAACGCAAGCACATGACTGTTGAGGTCGTCCAATCAGTGCCGCTTTCCTATTGAAAATGTTACCAACGGAGTCCTAAGGTGAAAACGAACTCTTTCTGTCTACACAAAAGCGGTCGGTCATGTTTATATAGTAGATATGTTCACAAACTGCTAGATGGAACGATGATCAGGCTTTCCCAATAATGCAAAACATGTCGCCGTTATAGTTTTCACCCAATCTGGGTTTTTCAGTAAATGCCGCTGTATAATGGAATTCCATGTTTTGGTTGTCGTTTTTTATCTGCAAGACATAGTACCCTGTTCTCTTTGAGGCATAGTTTTGTTTCCATTGCTTGAAGGGACTTGCTGTTTTATTATATCCCCCAATCTACAATTCCTACCAATTTCTTCGACTTTCCTTTCAAAAACATGCCTGTTTTCTTAACATTGAAAGGTTCTAATCGCTACAAACATACCTTTCGCTTAACTATCCTTTTCCAAATAGATCGAGGTTAATGCCTATCATAACAAAAACCGCCCAACAAGCAAAGAGTTATTTGCAAAAAATGCAATGACGGGAAAAATTGCTGTTACAAAAATAAACCAATTAACCCTTGTAAGTTTTCAGGATTCTCTGAATAGGAAAAGGGCAAATGAATGAAAATTTTAGGGGAGCGATTCTCCCTTCATGTTCTGTTTACGAGAGCAATTCATAGCTCGCCTCAGATTGCGAGGGGAGCGTGGAGGCGAGCGCGAGCTATCGCTCGCCTCAAACGGCCAGGCCTGCTTGATCGCGGTAGAAATTCCATTCGAATTCCATAGTCTGTTCAATTTTGCAAGCTGGTTGGTAGCAATTGCTAGCCTCTTCTTGATTTCGTGCTCTGAAGTAACATCTTCGTTCAATGTCGAACCGAGGTACTGGAAAGTCTTCACTTCCTCCAGCTCTGTTCCGTCAACCTTGATTATGGTGCCATTGGCTACTTCAGCTGCAATCCTAGAAGTCACCAGTGTTTTGCTTTTTTCAGCGCTGATTTCCATCCCATACTTTCTTGCTGTTGTGTCCAGTCTTTTGGTGAGCTCTTCCAGCTCCTCCTTAGTACCAGCAATGAGGTCAATGTCGTCTGCAAACCGCAGATTTGTTATCTGTCTTCCAGAGACCCTTACTGTTCCCGAGTAGTTGTCAAGCGCAACTGTCATAATTTGTTCCAGAAAGATATTGAACAAGCACGGGGACAGAATGCACCCTTGACGCACACCGACTGTCGTCTGAAACCACTCCATGGTACCATTACTACCTGTCATCACAGCGTTACTATTGTCATTGTACAGTGATTCTATCACATTGACCAGTCCAGCACCGACATTGTGCTTCTTCATCACTAGCCAAAGTGCTTTCCTCCACACTCTATCGAATGCTTTTTTAAAGTTGATGAAGTTGTGGTGCATCTCCATCTGGTGGTCACGGTATTTTTCTCCAAGGATTCTCACGCTTACAATCTGTATCATCACCTGTATAAAAAACCAAGCCTTCTGATATATTCATTTCATCAAACGAAACACAAAAAAGGTTCTGGTGGCATTTAAAGCTTCCAACAGCCTCCTTCAACTCATTGATGAAACCTGAATTGAATCCCACCTGAGATCCGTACATAAAGCACCGACTTGGTAGACGATAATCCCTGAATTTCTCAGTTCATCAAAAGAGCAACCTTGCAGCAACTGATAGTCAAAATCGTGTGATCATTGGATGTAGCCGTCATGAATTTCTCAGTTCATCAAAAGAGGAACCTTGCAGCAACTGATAATCAAAATCGTGTGATCATTGGATGTAACCGTCATGACCCTTGCTATAGGGGCTAGGCGCACTTGAATCAAAGTCAAACGATTATCTTTGTCAAACCTTTAAATCAAGAAAAGCTTTCTCCACTTAGACAAACAACGAGAGCATTTCAGTAGCTATAAGTCCGACCTGCTTCAAGGCAAGACAAAAACGTGGGAAAGCATTATAAAAGTGAGGGGAGAAGTACCTGTTTAAAAGGTTGTTTTTGGAAGCCTGTCTACAATGATATAGATATCATTCTCTGGTTTAATTCACCGTTTTCCTTATTCGCTCGGAGCGCAATGCATTCTGGTACTTGTAGTTAACAACAACACGGCAATCGGCGCGCTCTTCAAATCATTGCAAATATCGCTCAATCGCACTGTACGGCTGTTTACGATTTAAAAGATGGATAACCCTTCAATTACCAAAGAAACAAATACAGATACTTCTTCAAACAATCGCCCTAGTTTTTTTCAAAACTCTAGCCCGGGGCAACTCGCTGTACTACACCAAAAGCCAGAAGCTGTCGATATGGGAAGAGTCCTAAGAGTAGGCCTATGTGATGAGATCCCTAAAAAGCAATCAAAAGCTGGTGGATTCACGTGTTGCGTGCCAGGTTGTTTCAACAATAGCAAAAGAAACCCAGCTCTTAGTTTCTACCAGTTTCCGTTTGGAAATCGGCAAGAGAAGATCGACCTGAGGAAAAGATGGATATCCCTCATCAGTCGCAAGGACTTCAAACCAACGAATGGACACAGGGTTTGTTCGGTACACTTCGTTGGTGGAAAAAAGACTTACATGAGCAACGTGCCGCTCATCGTTCCAAAGGCAACTCGTCCCAGCATACCAAAACCAAGAGCAACATTTAAATGTCGTAACAGAGCCCTCACGGAAGAACGATTCGATCGGGAAAAACTTGTCGAAGTAATTGCAAATGGTGATGAGAACTTACCTGAGGCAGTTAATTCTGACAACCAGGCAAATGAGCTTGCTGCTCTGAGGAAGCAAATGGAAGCAAGGGAAAGACAGCACAAAGATGAAATAGAATCTCTTACAAAAATATTGGGTCAGGCTAAAAAAGAGAATGAATCAATGAAAGCAAAGATTAAACAAGTATCATTTCATGTTGATGATATAAAGGATGATACTGAACTATTTCATTTTTATACTGGTTTCCAAGATCATGAAACATTTCTGATATTTTTTGATTTTCTAATGCCAGCAGCAGAGAAGCTTATATACTACAAGTCAAACACAAATGCAGATACAATTTGCCCTGAGAATCCAAAGCGTGGACCAAAGAGAACACTGGCACTAGAGCAAGAGTTGTTTCTTGTCCTTGTACGTTTACGGTGTGGACTTTTAGAAAAAGACATAGCTTACAGGGCAGGTATTTCTGTTGGGCATTTTTCTAGGATCTTCATCACCTGGATTGATTTCCTATATACAAGGCTTAGACAGCTGCCAATATGGGCATCAAGGTCAACTATTGATGAAACAATGCCAAATGCATTCAAAGAAATGTACCCAAGTACACGTGTGATATTGGATGCTACTGAAATATTCATGGAAATGCCTAGTTCACTCAGGTCACAGAGTGAAACATACTCTAACTACAAACATTGCAATACTGCAAAGGGCTTGCTTGGTATTGCACCTTCAGGTGCAGTAACATTTGTGTCACACCTATATGCTGGCAGATGCAGTGACAAAGCAGTCACAAGGGATTGTGGTATCCTTAACCTTTTGGAAGCAGGTGATACAATCATGGCTGACAAAGGGTTTAACATAGAAGATGATCTTCCACCACAAACAGGGCTGAATATACCCCCTTTTCTCAAGGAAAAAGCTTCATTGACATTAGAAGAAGAAACAGAAACCAGAAGAATTGCCTCCCTACGTGTACATGTTGAGCGAGCCATTAGACGAATAAAAACTTTTAAGTTACTGAAAACAATATTTCCAATTTCAATGTCTGCTAATTTGGATAAAGTATGGGTGGTTTGTGCATATCTATCAAACTTTTTACCACCACTTATAGCTAAGAAATAAATGTGATTTCATACAATTGAAAAATTTTTTTTGTCTTTGTATCACTGTTTTTTAGGAAATTTCTTTTATCATTAAATTAAATGGAAATACACTTTTCATCAATTAACTTGGGCAATGGTTTTAAATTTTTTGCATTTCAATTTAGGAAGTGAGAGGAAATTGTCTCCTGTGTCACAAAATAATTTTGCCCCTACCCCACCTACAACTGTAGCATTTGATGACTGTAGCATTTCCTTAAACATAGCCATTACACCATTTAAACTCTAATTTGATTTCAGCTCAGCTCTAGAAATTCAGTTTGTTTGTTTTTTTTCATGATCAGAGAATTTTGGAGATGAAAAAATTGTCCTGACTTGTAAATTTTCCCATTAAGACATGACATTCTAACCAATGCCAAAATGACATAGCAGTTATTTAAAAGCAGTAAAAACAGATTTCATTTGGCTTCAACGCATCATAAATATCATATATTTTAATTTATATCAACATAAATGTTTCAAAAAATGTTGCTAACTTTGGTAACATTACAGTTTTCCAAAAATGACAGTCACATTCTAAACGTTGCACATATATATCTATGTCAGTATAAACAATAATGTCTAGCCATGAAAGGCCAATTATGTTCATTATTCCTTGGCATTGATAATAATAATGATGCTTTTCTTTCAAATTTGGCCCAGATCCTGAATCTCCCATGAAAAAGTTTTTATCTTGGCATGAATCTTGAACAGTTAAGTTCCTTTTTGTGTAAGGGCACTTAATCTCTATGCCGCCTACAAGCATCCCATCTTGAATTATCAATCCATCAGGGCTTGCACCAAGCCATGGCCATTTAGGATTGATCATCAGACCGCACTCAACAACATTACCTTGGTGGCAGAATTCTGTTTTGTACCTTTCTAAAGCCACCTTTTCCTTTTCAATGCCCCATTGTAACCCTGCTGTATTTGGCCCAGTTCCATCCCCCCTTTTAGCTATTTGATCAAGAATAGATTTTGGAAACACATTTTCCCTTCTTCTTAAGATTCTGCCAAAAAGGGATGATGTCAGTCGCTTTGACCTTTCTAAGAACCAGCGGTGGCTGCTTGCCTGTTTTCTTGTTTCTTTTTCAATCACTTTAATATCTTGTAAAGTGACTCCAACATTATGGGCTATACTGGCTGAAGTGGCCTTGGCAAAAAGACTAGAATCCATCTCTGCATGCATGTTTTTGAAAATATCATATGACATTTCCATAAAATTGCTGGATGGTGCTGATTCTTGTGCTGGATTTCCAGAGTGTTCAAAAAAGTCACAAGGTTTAAACTCGTTGCCTTTCAGAGTTTGAGCTAGTAAGTTGGCTTTCCCAGCCTTCTCTAAAGATTCATACAAACTTTGAATTTTACTACTGGCAACAACCTTTGCAAATGGAGGGGTTGCACAGAAATCTGTTCGGCTACCTGAAACTGCTGGCCTTTTACGCTTGCAAGACTTGTCTTTTTCAGGCATAGCTTTCTCAAAGCTCAAGTCTGCAAATTTGACAGCAACAGTTGAATTAAGTTTTCTTCCAGGCTCACACCATTTTTGAAGCACCTGAGTGCAGGTCAAATCCTCTGGAACGCAAGGCAGGCCCAAATTCGAAAAGTCCAGAAGAGTATACAGGAGTGCAGCAACATGTTTACAACAACCACCTTGTCCAGCTTTACAGTTGCATTTTGCTTTAACTACTGTTCCTGTTGATTGGTCTAAATGTGCATAAACTATGTATTTAATGCTCTTCATTGAAGCAGAAACAAATGCTTTTACCAAAAACAATGTAACGCAACCATATTCAACATCTGGTTTGACCCTCACTTTGCTCAAGTACCCTTCTTTCCACAACTTGTAGCCTTGGAGCTTGTTTCTGTAGGCATTCGGTGCAATATGATCAGGCATGTTCATTGCGTTATCAATAAGTTTCTCATTCAAACGGCTTTCCGTAAATCTAGGCATACATTTCAAATCAACGGTCCAGCTTCCATCTCTGAGATCAACGAAGTTATCATCGAAGGTAACGTCACTCCGTACCGCCATTTTGCTGGTAGCCTCTGGTACTTCTTCTTGCTGTAATACAACGAGTTGCCCCGGGCTAGAGTTTTGAAAAAAACTAGGGCGATTGTTTGAAGAAGTATCTGTATTTGTTTCTTTGGTAATTGAAGGGTTATCCATCTTTTAAATCGTAAACAGCCGTACAGTGCGATTGAGCGATATTTGCAATGATTTGAAGAGCGCGCCGATTGCCGTGTTGTTGTTAACTACAAGTACCAGAATGCATTGCGCTCCGAGCGAATAAGGAAAACGGTGAATTGTCAATAAAACATGAACCAAATATTTTGTTGACAATTGCTGACAATATTTGAACTTGCCGTACCTTCAAGAATAATCTGTGAAATTCTCGTTTCAGTATCTTGCATAGTTTCAGAGAAAATTGCATTAATACAAAGATAAAGCAAGATTTTTTGCTTCATATACAAAATCAGAAATCTGAGGGTTTACTTTGTACGGTTGAGATTTTACA